CAAAACCTGATTTTTAAAAAGGTGAAACTTAATGACTGGTTTTATGTAATTTCCACTGAAATAAATTTCCAAATAATCTACTCAATATAACCTGAGTCGAGATCGGTTGCATCCTACGTGTTCATTTAGTTGTCTCCCAATAAAAATATGATACCTCATTCCAAATTTGTACATTATCAAATAGTAAAATTAGAATTAGCTATTGAACTGTCATAAGAAACATTAAAATTAGCATACTGGGGAAGGTTTCGATAGCCCAATTAATGGAGGAAATCACATACGTAGAATTATAACCCAACGACGATTTTATAAGGAGATAAAGATAAATTAAAGGTAAGTATATAAGAGCATTCTATAATCATCCATATATCATCTTTTCCTTTCTATTTAAGGCCCTGTTTGGGAGGAATTAGATTTTTTTTACAGTAAATCAATTCTCATTTTCAACCACACATTCTTCAATAAAATATCATTTTCCATCACATCAATACTTTTTTTCTTCTTTTTCAACCACACATTTCTCATCATATCACTATTCAAAATCAATTCTTCCCCCTAAAATTTCTCCCAAACAAGCTCTAAGTCTTAATTTGAGTATTAGACAGTTTTGTATTTCATTTGCAAGGCTTGTTCATCACTTCTCATGGTAAGTAAATTTATGTTTAATTCATTTGGCTACCCAATTAGTGACATAAATGAAAGTGAATTTTGGTTTGAAAATGACTTTAATTTGATATTCTATACCTTGGAAACTCTTTAATATTTGATAAAATGATATAGTTATAAGACTTTCATCACCATTAATATTTATAGGGACCACCATTAATAAATCAAAACCCCCCATGAGATTTGATACCATAAAAGGTCAAATAGCTGGTTAAATTTCAAAATAGTTTAAATTAACCATTAAACCGGGACAACCAATCGCAAATAAATCCCCTCCAATTTCATTATTACAATTGATATTCAATCTGTGTAGGTTGGAACGTCTAATATTGCGGAGCTTCTCGATCACCCTTATGTACTCTTCGGTTCAGCAGCGTGCTAACAACTCTCTTATGGACTCTTTCACTAGGTACTTTTCCTAAATATTTTTTCAACATATGCATCGACGGACACGCATGTGGTCGTGTCAAATTATTTTTATTTTATTTTCTTCAGCTCTAGATTTACCTCTCTCTCTCCCTCTCCTCCCCTTTTCGACTTCCTTTTGCACGACAGTTCAAAAGAAGACCTTCAAGATCAAAATTCTTTCTTCTTATTCAAATTCCAATCTCTATTTTTTATCTAGAGCTATGATTTGCCAAATCTCTCCGCTGTCATCTCCCCGACTGCGAAAAAAATTGTTTTTTGGTGTTTATGTATTAAAAAATATGTAAAAACTGAATGAAAAATTCTAAAGAATTTATAGTTCGAGTTGTATTTTTTCTTGAATCGGGTTTGTGATTGTGTTAATTTCTTGCTTTTTCTTTCTTATTTTTCTTGTTCTCTTCAGCAATCATCATTTAAACAGAGATACTTTCTGGATTTTCTTATTTTTGCAATTTCATGTAGATTGATGGTTTATGTGTTTTGTATTAGTTATCCTTTAGTTCATTTTGCATTAATATGAGATGCATTTGTGTAACTATGCCACTATTCATTTATTTGGGTTGGTTATAAACTTATTCTGTGCCATTATTCATTTATTATAGTTCTCCCATTATTCTTTTGAAGCACAATTTTTTTTTTTTGCAAATAAGATGTAGATGTTGATTATTACATATCTAATGTTGGTTGGTGATTTTAATCATGCCTAACTGGATTTATTTTTCCCTTAGGGCTTGTTTGGGATTTTCGGCGTACTGGTTATGAGCGTTTCGATTTTAATTGTTTATGAGTTGATCGATTTTAAGTGTTTTAGTAGCAATCTTTAAAATTGTCCAATCTATACTTAAGAATTTATTATTCACCGATTTTGAAAGTTTTTTTTTTAAAATAAAATTATATACGTCTCTTAGTAAACTTTTAAGTTTATAGATTCTTATATAAATTTTTTCGCTCATAAGTGATATTTTATTTATAGGTACATTTTTTTACATATAAGCTAATATTTAACATAAAAAATAAATAAAATTAAATATTTACTTAAAATTTAAGTTCATATTTTTTACTTACGTGAATTTTACAATTATAAGTTAATTTTATATTTGAAATAATTTTAAGTGAATTTTTTACTTATATGTAACTTTTTATATTTTATAAGTGAATATTTGTTTTATTTGTAGTATTTTTATTCTATAAATTTTTTTTTTTTTACAAAATGTTATTTTTACTTAGGTTTTACTATACCCCCTTCACAATAGAGGGGGGCCCACGACCAATAAAAAAATCGTGTGCCCCCTATTGTAAAAGGGGGTTGTACTCGAGGTGTGTATACATAACAAAATATTTTTACTTATAAGTAATTTTTTAATTATAATGTAATTTTTCTATCTTATAAGTAATATTTTACTTATAAGTATTTTTTAAAATTACAGTGTAATTTTTTGAGTATAAATATTTTTTCAGTCAATATATTTTTATTTACAAATTAGTTTTGAAGAAAATATGTTGATTGAAAATAATTAATTTATAGATGGTAAAATTGGAAGAGTACGAGAAACGACCAAAATTCGACGATTTTGTGGATTGAGAGAATCGGTCAAAATTACACTATACTGATTTTGAAAGGTTTTTAAACCATTCAAAAATCGATGCCCAAAAAAACTAACAAGCGTCGATTTTTTCAACTCATCATAAACGTTGCCGTCCAAAATCAATTAAAAAAAAAACTCCCAAGCAGACCCTTAGTCTTTGGTACTGCTAATGTTCTCATGAATTTGCAATTAGTAGTCAATTAAAGCTAGTTTTTAAGAAAGCGCTAGATAATTATGAAAATAAAGAATGCATGCTCTTGCGCGATTTTATTGTAATTGGCTGATCATCATGTTATTACTTTTGGAGAATTCCTTTGTAAGTTCAAGCTGAAATCCAACTTCTGGTTATGATCCCAACTTCTGCAGTCACTTTTTTTTTTTTTTTTACCCATTCAGTATGTTTTCACTGTTTTAATGCGTTTATATCTTTGAAATTTTAGTGTTGGACAGAACTAAAATTGGTGATTTGTTGATTTTATCTTATTATTAACTAGGATAAAGTTTTCTTTATGACCTTCGATTATTCTCTAACTTTCTATTTAGTTGAATGACAGTTTGGTAGAATACAATGAGAACTATTTATTTAACAATATTGGCAACGATGCAATTATACAATATTTTAAAATTATGAAAACACGTAGGCTACAATTGCAGTAATATATAACTTATTTTCATTAGTGATATGTTGTTTTAAAAAAATTGCGTGCAATTTTTTACCCCACAATTTAGGTACGTACGTATGTATGTACACATCCTTTTTATTTGTTTTAGTTTTTCAATTTTCAAAATTTGCTTTCTTCCACCTTTTTTTGATGGTAGAAAAGAAAGATTACTTATCAAGCAAAGTGATGTTAATTGATGCTTGAAATGCTTTAGTTTCCTACATAATTACATTTGGTTTGTCACAAATTAAACCCAATCTTCAGTTTTTCATTCTAACTGTAAAGCTTACATGTAGATCAACTACTTCAAAATGATAAAAAAAAAAATCTTTATTTTTTTTTTCTATTATATTCTATTTAAATTTTGTTATTTATTGTAAAATCGATTATAGAACTACTTATCTACGATCCAATTTTAGTGTGAAATTATAAATTAAGCCCAAGTAATAAGTCGATCCTCAATTAGTTTTGTGGCGATGAACTACACAAAAAGCTAGAACAAACGTTTACGCTGAAGATTGAATAAAGTTAGACAAAATTAAGAAAGAATGACAACTTTGTAGATTATCACGATGTAGAATTCTTTAATACAAAGTTACTTTAAACTGTAGGCATAATTAAGTATTAAAGAACTTTTTAACACTTCTCAAATAAGGAAGAACCCTTAAAACTACCCCACCCCACTCCACCCCCACCCAACAAAAAACTGCAAGTGCAAGCTACGCCAAACCTAATATTTCTAGATACTACTTATCCCATGATGTCCCACTCATAAGTCACAACTGAAGTGAGCCGGTTAGCCCAGTATCAATTCCAAACTTCTGAAAGCTCCCTCTCATCTTCATCAGACTATTATTCTATCATTAATCTGATGACATAATTTGCTTCAAATATAAGCATTTTTATAATCAAAATCAGATAATATCTTTCTGTTTTAATGTCCTCCCAAGGCCCTGGCACAAGTTGAAGCTCTGGTTTGGATCATTTCCTTCCATGGCGGATTTGGCACAAATTCCAACAGAGATTTTTGTAAGTTTTATTCCAACTTTTTTATTATCTTCTTTGTTGAACTCAAGAAAAGTCGAAGTCTGATAGCAAAACCATCACAGAAAACAAAAATTCTTGTGGTGTATGGTTGCGGCTTATGAAATTTCTCCTCTTACGTGTAAAATATACAATGCATATTAATCTTAAAAGTTTAATCTAGTTAAAAGGAGTACTCGAAACTCTATAAGTTGATTATTTGTAGTTAAACCGACGTGGGATTAAACACTCAAAAATATCTTTGATTTTCAGAAAAAGAAGAAGCTTGGTGGACAACAAAAGAAAGAGGAACTTGAAAGAGAGGTATGGACATGATTTTATGCATCTTTTTGATTGAGTTCTTTGCATTGTCGCTTTGATTCACTTGTACGTTGTAGTACACACTACACACATAGGTTATGGGGGTGCATCTACCTGGTCTAAGAAACTTTTCTCTTTCTTTTTGTGTAGAGACATGTTTCCTAGTAAAATTTGAAATTTTTGTACATGTATTGGGAATTAAGGATATATTACTAATTTTCGTGATTTGTTTGTTTTAAATTTCAATTCGATTTTGTAATAAATCAGGAAAATACACTTCTTCTTTTTTTCTAATTTTGTCACTTAAGACGGTATACAAATTTTCCATTGGTGATATTGTCTCTATTTTTTGAAAAAAAAAAAGTGATACTAAGTTGAAAGGTAAATTTTTTACCCAATTGAGGTTTCCACGCTTCACAAAATGCTGGCTCATGAACAAATGGTGCACGAATTTCTCCAAGAACTTCAAACTCGACAGGATGGTTCTCCTCTCAGCATCCCAAACTATCTTCCACCAAAAGTAAGTTTCATATATGCATGAATTTCTTCTTTTTCTTTTGCTTCTAATTTCATTGCTAAGTTTACTGAAAGATTGAAAGTAAGCCCATGTTTGATGCACATTCTTAAGGAAAGAATGTATTTTAAATAGTGATCTGATGGAAAATATGTGGTTAAAAAAAGGAAAAGTTTTGGATTTGCGTGTAATATTATTTTATTGAAAATTGTGTGGTTAAAAATGAGTATTGAAATAATTTATATTTTTAAGAATGTGGATCAAACAGGGTCTAAGTCGATCATTAGCAACCACAATTGCTTGAAATTGTTTAATGGATACTTGTATTCATAGTCATTTGATAGTCCAACATAATCTTTGTATTGAAAGGAAAAGTAATTAAGAAATGAAGATTGCATTCTCATTAAGGAAGAAAAGAAAATTAATTTCTCATGACAATGGTAGCTCTTTAAATAGAACAAAATCTAACTAATTACAACAACTAACTAACCAACTAACTTGACAACTGTACACAACTACTTCCTAACTAACTTTGGCTCCAAATGAACTTGAATTGAGCTGGACACTTGCTGAACCGTTGACACCATGCTCAATCCTCTGTTGTTGCTGCTCGCTTGCTTATATATTCTAACCCCCTCCCCCCCCCCCCCCCCTTCAAGATGGACCATGGAGACTTATAATGGCCATCTTGGAAAGTAAAGAAAAGAACAAAGAAGCTAGTAAGGCCTTGGTGAAGATATTTGCTATCTGGTGTTGAGATCAAATGGGCAACAATTTGATGAAATCATCAACCTCCTTATCACGAACAAAATGACAATATATTTCAATGTGTTTTGTTCGTTCATGAAAAATGAGATTACTAGCAATATGAAGTGCATCATGATTGTCACAGAAAACTAAGGTTGGAGACATTGGAGAAGCACCCAAATCTAGGAGCAGTTGATGTATCCAAATTAGTTCACTAGTAACAACTGCTAATGCACGATATTCTGCTTCTGCGGAGGACCTAGAAACGGTCTGTTGCTTTTTAGCCTTCCAAGAAACCAGTGAGTCACCAAGAAACACACATAAGCCAATGATGGATTTTCTTGAGTCAAGACAAGAGCCACAATCCGCATTAGCAAAGGCCCTTAGTTGCAAAGAAGAAGAGACTGAAAAGAACAAACCTTGACCAAGAACTGACTTATGAAATCGGAGAAGATGATGAGTTGCATCAAGATGCGGTTGGCGAGGTTTAGAAACAAACTGGCTAAGTTTGTGAATTGCAAATGTGATGTCTGGAAGAGAAATGGTTTAAGTAGAGCAAACGGCCAATAAGTCTTCGATAAGACGAAGCACCAACATTAGTTAACAAATCACCATCAAATGAATTCAGTCGAACCTTTGGATCCATAGGCAAACCAGCAGGTTTGTAAGCTAAAAAACCACTATCCTCCAGGAGTTGCAGCGTATAATTTCTTTAGGATAAACATATCCCTTTATGTGACCTTGCTATCTCCAAGTCAAGAAAGTACTTCAATTTACCCAAGTATTTTAGTTTGAACTGACTATGCAAAAATGATTTCAAAGAGGCAATAACACTTTGATCAAGCATATTGGAATACCCTAAAGGTAAGTCCATATAAATCACTTCAAAAAGGTCCCCATTCAAAAAGGCATTATTCACATCTAACTGAACCAAGTGTCATCCATTAATGGTTGCTATAGCAAGCATTGTCTTTATTGTAATCAACTTAGCAACAGGAGAAAATGTATCAATAAAGTCTAGGCCCTCTTTCTGAGTGTAACCCTTAGCAACTAGGCATGCCTTATACCTGTCCACACTTCCATCAGGTCCATACTTTACCATATAGACCCATCTACAACCAATTGAGTGCTTACCCTTTGGCAAATTGGTTACAGTCCAAGTATTATTTGATTCCATAGCTGCCAACTCAGGAGCTATTGCTTCCTTCCAATGATCAGATGCAATAGCTTGGTGATAAAATTGTGGTTCAACAATGAAAGAGACATTAAGGAGAAATGTTCTGTGCGATTGAGAAAAGGAATTATAGGAAAGATATTTATTTAAGGGATATAGTGAATTGTTGTCAGGAGGTTGTTGATTTGCTAGTAGATTACAATGAAATTCATGAAGATATAATGGGGGTTTAATCACCCTAGTAGACCTTCTAGGCATAGGGAATGAAGGTGAATCATCAACAGGTTGTTGATTGTGCTGAGTAGAATCAGAAGAATAATTAGAAGGAAATTCAGGTTAAATGTTATTATCAGCAGAAGTAGATGGAGATGAGACTAGGTGATGTTTAGTCAAAGCATTATTGTCAGTTGAAGTAGACGAGTATGAAGTCAAATGGGAAACAAACATATCAGAATTGATGCTTGGTAATACAATATCAAGAAAGAAGTCTATTGAATCTGATGAAAAATCTATAGAATAGAGGAAGTGAGTTTCATGACAAACCACATCCCTGGAAATAAGAAAAGACTTAGATGAGATATCATAAAGTTTATATCATTTGACTCCTGGTGGATAACCAATAAAAACACATGCTTTAACGCTAGGAGAAAATTTGTTTCTGTGAGATGGAAGTGTGGATGCAAAGCAAAAACTACCAAATACCTTAAGGCCCTGTTTGATAATGAAACATTTCCATGGAACTTGGAATTTAAATTCCATTTTCCACCAATTTGTTTGTTTGATAGCCATAATTTTCTTGGCAATTACTTTTCCACNTGATGAAAAAAATGATTTTTTAGGAAAAAAATGATTTTTTCGTTTTTTTATTACTTTTAGGCAATGAAACAAATTTTATAACCAATTGAGGAAAAAAATTATCACTTTAATGGATAATTTTCATGTAAAACAAAGCTAAATGAATACAAAAAATTCAAAATTTTAAAATTTTTCGAGTGGAAAATTATACCAATTAAACACATTTAATTAACAATTCCCTGAAAACAAGTTCTAGGTAATTATTTTCTTTAGAATTTATTTTTTTTTCCACCCATATTTCACCATTGCAATCTAACGGACTCTAAGATAAGTGTAATCAAAAGATGTATCATATAGTAGGGAAAATGGAGTCATGTTTTGTAGAATTGAAGAAGGTGTTCGATTGATCAGAAATGTTGCAGGAAGAACACAATCACCCCAGAATTTAATAGGTACTCGTGGTTGAAAATAAAGTGCTCGTGCTACATTAAGCAAATGTTGATGTTTTCGTTCAACTACATAATTTTGTTCAGGTCGTTCAACGCACGAAAACTGATGAATAATGTCCTCAACCTCAAAGAGTTCAGTGAACTTTAACTCTTGAGCACTATCAGACCTAAAGGTTTTGATGACTTTGTGAAATTGATTCTTAACAAGAGCAAGGAATTTTGGTATGATAAGCTTTGCATCTGACTTCTGTTTCATCAAATAGATCCAAGTGAAACGTGTACAATCATCTACCAAGGTAAGAAAGAACATATGACAGCATATGTGGAGGTATAATATGGTCCCCATATATTGCAATGTATCAAATCAAAAGCATTATTTGATAGATGATTATTTGATACAAATGATAATCTCCTTGGTTTTGCCAAAAGACAAATAGAACAATGGAGTAGAGTATTCTACCTTAGTCGAATACAATCAACATGTAACAAATTCTTCAATAAGTCTAATTTCTGATATGATAAATGCCCAAGTCTGTCATGCCAAATTTGACTCGTTACATTATTTGTTACTGAAAAATGACAGACGTTATTATGAACTGCGAAGCTGGAATCTATTACATAAAGGTCTGTCTTCCTTTCACCCTTGTCAATCATCCTCAATGTGCTCAAGTCCTGAACCACGCAAGAATCGACGAGGAACTTAACAGATAATGAGGAATTCCTTGTTAAGGCACTCACTGACAGTAGGTTGAATTTGAATTGGAGAACATACGGGACATCATTGAGCATTAATTCAGATGTGAGTTTTACAGTTCCAACTAACTGTACAAGTATTTGGACATGATTTGGAAGTGTAACATATGCATTTTCAATTGGCCTTAATGCATGGAATGTTGTTGATCAGAACACATATGACTTGTTGTGCCTAAATCTACCACCCAGTGCTTAGATGAATTAAAATCTGGATTAATAGAGATTGAGAAACAGGTACCTGAATTCTTACCTGAACCAGCCCCTATGTCCGAATCCAATTTTGTATTCTTGAGATGAATGTTTAGCATGTTCATCAGATGCTGATATTGAGTAGGATTGAGTGTCTGCATAAAACTACCAACATTTCCATCATTCTCATGTTTCTGATACATGGAAACAACCTGTTCCGAGATCTGATTAACCATGGCTTGGCTGCTTGATCCAGTTAACACATTCATTCCAGACTTTAGCCTAGATTTATACCCCGGTGGATAGCCATGAAGTTTGTAACGCTTATCCACAACACGGCCATTGAGTCCACAATCGGTACATATTGGTATGTCCTTCTTTTGGATTCTATTGTATTATTGCCCTGCATTCTTTCTAATAAATGCCTGCCCCATCCTCTTGGTATTGTTTTAACATAAAATGCCATTGAACCAGTTATTCCAGATGCATCATCGTTCACACTAATTTTCCTTTGATTCTCCTCTTGAGCAACCAATGCAAATACTTTGTTGATAGGGAGAATATGATCCATCAATAGTATTTGTCCCCTAGTTTGTGCAAATGATTCATTTAGTACCATTAGAAAGGACATGACATACTCTACTTGATGATGTTCTATTAACTTCTTGCTTCCCCCACAAACGCATTTACCACATGAGCAATTCGGTTCGTAATTACCAACTTCTTCCCAAATTGTTTTCAATTTGGTAAAATATTTACTTACAGATAAATCCCCTTGCATTAGGTTCATCAGCTCCCGTTTCAATTGAAAGATACGAGGACCATTTCTTTGCTGATATCGCTCCTTCAAATCTATCCAGATTTCATGAGCGGATTCAAAATAAAGCACACGGGCCGAAATTTCCTTGGACGCCGAATTGAGGATCCATGAAGTAACAATTTTATTGTTACGAATCCACAGATTGAGATGCTCTGAATTTTCCTCAAGTCGTGAAATGGTTCCATCAATAAAACCCAATTTATTCTTTACAGATAAGACAATCACTATTGAGCAGGAAGCATAATTCTCTCCAACTAGTGACTGTGAAACAAGAATTAAACCAAGATTATCTGATTGATGTAAAAAATATGGATTGGATTCATCATCAATTGTTGAATTATCCATTGCCAAATTGATGTTGACTCACGAAAGAATTAATCAGCTAAAGGACAGCTCAAGAAAGAATGAATCGGTCGATTCTAATCAGAATTGATTATATGTGAATTGAAAAAAAAATTACTGGTGATGAGCGGGGATTTGCTTTGATACCATATTGAAAGGAAAAGTAATTGAGAAATGAAGATTGCATTCTCATTAAGGAAGAAAAGAAAATTAATTTTTCATTACAATGGTAGCTCTTTAAATAGAACAAAATCTAACTAATTACAGCAACAAACTAACCAACTAACTTGACAACTGTACACAACTACTTCCTAACTAACTTTGGCTCCAAATGAACTCGAATTGAGTTGGACACTTGCTGAACCATTGACACCATGCTCAGCCCTTTGTTGCTGCTGTCGCTTGCTTATATATTCTAACACTTTGCATGTACAGAAATAAGAAATCTATAGTTTATATTCATGAGTTGCTTTTATTTTTATATCTATGTATTACCATATATTAAGAAATCTCAGCAATATAGCAATCTCTCAGGAATTGGTTGTTATGCAACTGATTCAATTTTAACTTTAATTCAATTCTTGAAGAAATTAACCTAGAATATGCTCCTTAAATACTTTATTCAATTTCATTTACAGATGAAAGAGCTACTGGCTGAGCTAGCTATGGTTGAAAAGGAGATAGCACGATTGGAAAGCCAAATCAGCCAGCTTCAGTCCGAGGTGAAAAATGAAAGGGAGCAAAATTCCATGCAACGGCAGCATCATGAAACTCCAAAAAATAACAGTGGAAACACGAGCAGACGTCATTCCAATGAGAAAACCATGTTTCAGGCTAAGGGGCTACATTTTATTACCAAGGCTATAAACGGAGATTATAATCTCGGCGACTTTAGAAAAAATGAGAAAGGGACAAATCCAAAAGGATTATCTAATCACAAGGAAAATAATTTTCTCGACGAAATTGGAATATTATGTGACAATGTTTCCAAGAGAAGTGAGATGCTTAAACCTGCCTCGCCATTTCGAAACATGAGGCATCCAACTCCAACCCCCAGGGTACGATCACAGAATTTCGTTGAATCTCACTGTCACCTATTTATGAAAATTTCACGTATTTAACTAAAAATTATTCTTTTACTTTTCTACTATCTGATTCTAAGATTCTGACTGTCGATGCCAATTCAGAGAGACCGATACCTCAACATCCCTGCAGATATCCTACAAAATGTCATGTCTACTCCAATCCATTCAGAAGAACAAAGCATTCACAAGTGGCCACCTAACAAGTTATCTGAGAACATCATGAAGTGTTTGATCTTTATTTTTGTAAGGCTACTTCGAACATCAAGAACAATGGAAATAGAGAAATCAGGGCCGATAACCCGGTCTACAAACTTTTCTCAAAGTTTTCGTGCTGAGACTAGCTTAAATTTGAAAACAAGCCTCATGTTTCAGAAAGACTCAAGACAGCAAGATCCCTATGGCATTTTTGATTCTAAAGAATCTATAACAAGGGATATTGGGCCCTACAAAAACTTGGTTAGATTCACATCAAGCTCTATGGATCCCAAATGCATACAAGATTCGAGCTCAGTTCCTTTGTTTCAGAAGTTGAAGTAAGAATGAAGCTAACTATTAATTAATTTACTTCCACTTTTGAAATATTTTCGTTCCATAGGGGGCTTATTAATGATAAAATCTGTGTATTTTTCTCTATGCATTTTGGAAAACTCAGGGGGTTGATGAATGGTCTTCAGAAGGTAGACTTAAGATTCTTGAGTCATCAACAGAAGCTGGCTTTCTGGATCAACATGTACAATGCTTCTGTCATGCATGTATATGGACTTTAACACTGTTCTTGCTACTTTTCTTTTATCTATTAATTTTTACACTTCTGGATTATTGAAGTACTTAATTAAATATTTGAATGATCTTTTCTTCCAGGGGTTTCTTCAGTATGGGATTCCGAGCAGTTCTACACCTGAGAATCTGCTAAAACTTATCAACAAGGTAAATTAAAATTTAATTAGAAAATCTGAAGATAATTATTTCAAGTTCTTTACAATTTAATTGATTGGATAACGTGTCTCTGGCAATTCATGCTTTTAGATTGGAAGATTAACAATACAATGTTCCGAACTCACTTCTTTTTGTGTCCCATTCTTATGAACTATATAAATTATATAAATCGTGCATTTATTTCATTAAGAAAAAAAAAATGACATAGTAATGTTTTTTTATATTCATATGGTCTTGTATATAACTTGCTGCTTCATTTCAGGCAACTCTGAATATTGCTGGTAATATAATAAATGCTCAAGCAATTGAACATTTTATCCTGAGAAAACTTGAGCCTTCACTGCTTAAACAGGTATGTCACATTGTAATGGTTAATATCTTGAATTTCAGTGAACAAAATATTTATGGAAAGTCATTTATTTTGATTTAATAGAGAATTACTTCATTCGAAAGAAAACAGCAGCAAAAGTTTACTCTTACTGGATTTATTCTTTTTTTTTCCCTATATCGAAATGGAGTCTAACAGCATAATTTGCATTATTTTGTTGGATTTTATGCATTTCTTAGCTTACTGGGAAGGGAGAAAAATATATCAAAGAAGCTATAGTTGGGGAACTTTATGGACTTCAGTCACCAGATCCAAATGTCATCTTTGCCTTGTGCTGTGGAACACGTTCTTCACCAGCTGTGAGTCTCAACCATTTCAACAAGAAAATTACACAATGTGGTGCATGTTTATTATGCAGTATTGAATATGATTATTGATGCATAATACTTTACTATTTTTTCTTCTCGAAGACCATCTCGTACTACCCACCAGTTAATAATTTGATGCGAATGATTCGAACTTGAAATTTATGTCTCATATATATATGCCAAATATATGGGTGTACATTGTATTGTTGAATGCAATACAATAGTGGTTTTATTGGTAAGACTCTATACAACAGTGGAAGTATTAATGAAGAAAAAAGTTGGAAGTTTTGACAAGTATATCTTGTCTAGTACTAGGTACCAAACATATGTTACGTGTAATATACATAAAAATACTCCAAAAATTACTTTTTTCTTTCTTGTAATAACTGAGATCTTGCTGATTTTATGTATTTGTTTCATGGCTAGGTAAAAATATATACAGCAGAGGGTGTCATAGGTGAATTGGAAAGATCAAAGCTGGAGTACCTGCAAGCTTCAATAGTGGTGACAAGCACAAAAAGAATAGCACTCCCTGAGCTTCTACTTGGCAACATGCAGGATTTCGCCAGAGATGTCGACTCGTTGATGGAATGGGTGTGCGAGCAGCTACCTACGTCTGGATCTTTGAGGAAATCGATTATGGATTGTTTTCGGGGACTTCGTGGTGGCAAAGCATCTTCCATTGTTGAGAAGATACCTTATGAATATGAGTTCCAATACTTGTTGACCATGTGAAAGTTAAGATTACAATTTTGTTGCAATATTTATGTAGCAGAAGTGTCCAAGGGAAAAAAATAGTGATTTTCTATGTAGGCATAGACTGATCAAATAATCATGATGATGATCATGTTGTACATGCAAAAACAACTATCTTATGAACTAAATTCAGATGCAAATGGAGGAAGAAAAAAAAGTACTGAAACGAGGTATAATTTTATGGATTAATCTATATGTACAAAGGGTCGGTTCACGGAAGGTTTACCGACCCTCACATGAGGTGGGTCCCGATGCAGAACTCACGTGATTAAAAATTGGATCAAAATTTTCCCGCCCCTCCCTATGTGTGTAATCTGTGGGGCTTCTGTGAAGCCTCGTTCTGTAATGGTAGCGGACTCTAATTTTATTGAGAGAAATTAATTTGTAATAGGACAAGTATATTATTATGTTATATTGATATTCTTTATGCAGTCATGATCGTTGTTAAAGAGACCTACCGTGATTATACCGAATAATTCAAACACTACTTCATCATATTTTAAGCTAAAATATTATTTCCTAAAATTTAAGTTTGATCTCAAGAATTGGAACAATTTGAATTTGACCATCAAGTTCTCTAACTTTGCATTAGTGAATTTTAAATATTCGGGATATTACTCGCTCGGATTTAATAAGCGTAATTTCCATATACACAAAGGATACAAATTTGTGATAGCTAAACATAAGGAATACGAGCTATATTGGTTGTACTGTAAGGATTTTTAATCAAACATGTGGGCTTATAAGTGAAATATTGTGTATTAAATTAAAGGCTATCAATATCGGTTAAGCCCATTTAAAGTGAACTAATAAGGTTTCGGTATTTTGGGCTTTGAAGCATCTAATTAAAGT